CTTTTTCATGATCTTACAAGGAAAAAGAGTCCCAKAAACACCTCTGTGTATTCAGTCTGCCCTTTGCCAGGCAGTGGAATGCAGTGGATCACTATCCATTTATTATTTCAAAAACAATATTAGAATTTTAATCATTCAGTCTTCTTCAGTATTTTGGATGTGTTGGACATCTCCACTCGCAGTGCCTGATTGTGATTTAGCCTTGCCAGTTCCCTTCAGGGGTGCTAAAGCCATCTGCTCCTGTGGGCTTTTGCAGAGCAGGGATCCAAGATCAAATTTTATTTAATGCAATATGTCTGCTGATGAGGATGACTTTCTCAGCTCTCCTTTTATTGCAGTTTGTTACTGGACATGGTGGTAAGTAGAACTCTGATTAAAATAATCCTTCATTTCCTTCCTTTGGCAGATCTGAGCTGGGACACTGCAGAATTCTTGAGTAATTCTCATGTCCTGCTGTTTCTGGTTTGGTTCGTTTTTTTGTTTGGAGCTTTTTTTAGTCTTTGTCTTTGCTTTAATTTTATTTTACAATTTTTTTACTAAGATGTTAAATATAAGTTGAAACTTATTTTACTCTTTCAAAGACATGGAGGGAGAGAAAACGTTTTTCAGAGTTGGTACTTTTTCTATGCCAACAGCAAATATTTTCCTCCTGCTGATTTTCTTCTGGAACTAAAATACTCATTGATGATAAGACAGGAACCTGGAGAGACTAATCAGTCATTAACTAATTCCGAAGTATTTCCCAAAGTATGTTTGAGGTTTGAAATCAACACTTTTCCAGCATTTTGTCAATAGTCTTTTTACTTCAGGAAGAGCAGCCTTCCAGTTTTTGCTAAATTAGTTCAATTTAGTGTAGTGAAAACATATTTTTCAGAGGGGGTCAGGAATTTCTTGGAGTGATTTAATTTTTTTTGGGTTGATTTTGGGACTTTTTCCCTTCTCTTTTCCTTCCAATTGAAAATGCAGTTTGGAAAGTCAAGTTTTGTCTAATTGTTTAATTTTTCTGTTGAGAGAATCCACCTTTCCTTGGCTGTTTTGTTATTTCTGCTGGGCAAGAACTGCCATGCTGCAAGGCTCTGGTGAAATGCCACTTCCCAAGAGAAACAAGTGAAGTCAGTAATATCCTTCCCAGTAGGCAACTGACAATCTAGGGAAAATAGAATTTCACTGATTTGAAAAAGATTTTTTTCAAAAAATCTTTCTGATGAGTGCTTTTTTATTTTTTTTTCTTGATTAGGAATAAATTACTCCCACCCTCTTAGGAAACACAAGGATTTGTCAGAGAAAGTTTTCTGTATGGCTTTTTTTTCCCTCTTAATTTTTTCTTCCACATCCTCATTCTTTCACTGTCTGTCAAATTAATTTCTGGGGGTGTTACAGCAGGGTAAGAAAGGTTAGCCAAAATCAATTTTATATTAATTAATCACATTTAAAATATGTGGAATGGAGATCTCATCAGAAAATTGGTTTCTTKTTGGGCATTCACATGGTAATCTACATATTTTTACCTGTCACTTGTGCAACTTAAGAAAAATAATAATGGAAGATTTTACGTTGAGTTTGAAAATTTGTATTAATTCTAACACATGCTGGAAATTGCTGTTATTTCTCCTGTTTTTTGGGTTTTTTTTTTTGCAGCCAGTGCAAGGTTTTGATTATGCCAAGCAGCACTTGGGTCAGCAGGGAGCAGAGGATGAGGTTTTGCCTGTGACYCAGGAGACAGTCATACTCCCAATTCCAGTCAGAGATGCTCCCCCCTCCCAGGAGAGAGAGAATATCCAGGATGGGAGCACCATCAAAACTGCCCAGTCCAATGAAACAAGGAAAAGGTATGGGTTTTATGGGATCTGGGATCTTTCCATGGGATTCTGGTTGCTGTTAGGATTGGCACTCTGTGTGTGTGGCAGGGGCTCCTCCATGGTGTGTCCTTGGCTGTGCTGGGTGTGTAAAATTRCTGCAAAGTGTGAGATAAAACCAAGTGAAGCCTTCACAGAGGAGGTGAAGTGGCCTTTATGTGTGWGCTTGTCACTGCTGGCTAAACAGCRACAACAATGTTTATGTTTTYCAGWGTTAAAAGTTGTAATTTATGATGTCCTTTTTCTTACCCACCAAGGAAAGCCAATATTCCAAACCTGTTCACATGTGTAGGCAAAATAATTTAGTGAAGGTGGTTTTTTTTCTTCTTTGGCCTGCTTTTCCCAGCTTTTGCATTAGGATTTGAGGAACTTGTCCACCCCAAAGAGCAGAGAAGCTTGTCCTGAAATTGGTCCCTGCCCAGGGTGAGGAGGGAGGGCACGGCAGAGCTGCTGTTCCTTGTATCCCAGTGAGGAGCAGGGACCAGTTTCAGGACAAGGATGTGCAGTGGCTGATTAAAACAAGCATTTTCTTAGGGGTTTCAGCCAACAATGGTGCCACTTAAACCGGGTTATTTGCCAAAAGGAGAATAGGAGACTTTTCCTTATCGTGCTGTGCTTGCACGAGTGCAAAGTGAGTGAGTGAATTTTGCATTGTGCCTGACAGCAGCTGACTGCAAAAGCAGGGAAAATAACAAAGGAATTGGTTCAGCCACGCATCCAAAAACAAAGCTCTATTTTATTTTGTATGGTTTAATGACACTGAATCGACAACAGGACTTTCTGTCCTCTGCTGTGGCACTTTTTGTCCTTGTGAGGTTTGTGCASGAGGAGCAGTTGCATTCCAAGTGATGCCTGATGATTTTTGCTTTTCCTTTTTACACTTTCTGTACCCTCTATGCATTCCCTTGCACCCCTTAGTCCACATGCTTGTAATTCCTGATATTCCAGCTTAGTTTAGGAGCTCTGCTGGGCAGAGAGACCAAACATCCTSAGGAAGGGCTCAGTGTGCCCTGTGCTGTCTAAAACCCGAGCTCAGCCTTGGGTAAAGCCTTCTGTCCAGAACATCTTGTGTAAACTGGGCTCTGGCCTCAACCACGGGGAAATTCATTAAAATAAAGAAACATTACTACATTTATAAAGTTTCTTATTGGAAAATACTAAATAGATATGCTAATTCCTGAACCCTATAAAACTTGTACCCGTGCTGTACACGGGTGTGCATTCTGCCATCAAGTTGTGCACCTGGGATCCCAAATCCCGAGGTAAAACCCTTTTTATCCCCTTAACTGTGTCATTATTAAAAACTGGCCTTTCAAGGCAACACAAGCAATTCTASGATGCCCATCAGCCCTGAACTAATTGAGAAAGTCGTGTTCACCTCCCATCACTCTGCTCCCACCTTCACTGCATCGCTGCGCGCTGTTTATGTTCAGTACAAAACCGGACTGGAAAACTCAGCGATGCAAACCRTGCGAGTGGAATAACCTTGAAATGAGGTTGGGGAGGAAGAACTCACGTCCTGCCTCGTTGCTATGGTTACTTGCAGCCGGTCCCCGAGTCAGAACGGCTCCATCCTCAGCAATGGGTCGGGGAAGCCCAGCTCCGAGCACAGCTCCCTGCAGAAGGTGATGGCACCGCAGAAAGCGCCCAAAGAYGAAGGCAGGAAAAGGAACGGTGAGAAGGGTTTGGAAATGGTCACTGTTGGCCACAGCTGCCTGTGGTTTCTCCCTCAGCCATTCCCACAATGGCACAGGGGGTGTTGACATCAATTTTCTGTACTCTCAGCAGTCCTTGGCCATTTTATGTGTGTTTAGCTGAGTTTTCAGGTGTTCTCCTTCCCCTTTGCTGCAATAACTGTGTCTCCAGATCCCATGAAACATTGTGGTGTTTGCTCTTTGTGTGGGCCTTTGCAAGTTTTCTTTCTTTTTTTTTTTGTTTTTTCCCCCTTTTCTCTTGAAATAATGAAGACATGATGCTCCTTAGTAGATGGACAAGGTTTACAGCTTATTTTTTTTGTGCAAGAACCCATAGATATTAATTTCCTTTGCTGCTAAGCTGGCCCAGATCTGATGAATTAATTAGATAAAAATTAATTTGAGAAAGTGTGAAACATCCAGTGCTTTATCTTTCCTCACATCCCTGGCACACCCATTTGTTATCAACACTTGCTGGCAGCTTTTCCTGATGCACTTGGATGCCACGCTGGGTGTTTCTCACAAGAAACACAGTGGTGACCTTGTGGTTCAAAATGGACCAGGAACATCTGATCAGAGTAGTACAGTCCCAAATGCCTATTGAAGTTGAAATTAAAAACCCCAAAAACTCAAAGCACCCACAATTTTCTCATCTTTTTGCAGAGCCTGCCCTTTGTTCCCCCATGCTGTGATCACCAACGCTGTTGTCACCTGTGACAGTTCTTTTTGCAAGGTTTTTCCATTTATCCAGTGTGATGAGTATTTTTAGAAGGTGGTGTCTGGTTTTCCTTCCAGTTTAAGAAGGAAACTGCTGCTTTTCCCCCATTTTTTTTTTGCCTGAGCCTGCTCCAGCTCCCCAGCTCGTGGTGACTCTCACGATCACGTTGGCAAAAGCAGCAGCAAATTTCCTTCTTGGAGAAGCAGAGTCTTCAAACTGGAATGAATTCCTTGATGGTCACATGTTGGGTTTGGGGACTCCGAGTCAGAATGGCTCATTAGTTGCCATAGYTACAGACCAATTTTAGATTCTATTTCTTGCTGACATTTAGTTACAGGGAGAAATGACAGCGCTGGATGTTACCTCAGTGAGTAAATTCTCCATGGCTCGTATCAAAATTGACTCCAAATGGAGTGTGTCAGGGCTGTGAGTGAACAATGTGAGACCAGCACAGACTGACAGRATTGGCTTCAGGACCTGATGCTTTGGAGGATCAGGAGAATTCTCCAGCTGAGCATTATTTCTACAAAAAACACAAAATATGTGCTCGAATCAGTGATATGTTTTTATACAATAACTGCGTGGTTTTTCTTGAAGAGAATTTATTAGTATATTAATAGAAAGTTTCCTTTCTAAGAGTTGATGGGTTTTATTTTAGGCACTTAGAAAAAATTCAAACCTTTTAAAAAGTGCCCAGTTATGTATCTTAGAGGACTGTACTTGGAATGAATCAGCCCACAGAAGAATTAGCAATTTCTGAGAGGGGTTTGTAAGAGAGAGTGGGAGAGAGGAACAGGATATTTCACCATTTTCAGTATTTTCAGCAGYTCCACCCATCATTTTACCAGGCCAAACATCATTCAGGGAGAAGCGAATGGTTGAGCCCACTCAGACCTAAAGAAACAAAGCAGTCTACAGTACAGGCTTTCCTTTCACCAGCTCCWTGCTAAATGAAGCCAAGGAAATTTAATTTCTACAAGTTGTTTTTCCAGCCTTTAAGTGCTTGGTCTTGCAACCTTCCCATTAACATCTTTGTAAGACTSTGGAGGAAAGACAAAGTGAAGGGAAAGAGAGATGAGAGAAGAAATCTTCTGTGCTGCTTATTGAAATATTTGGCTGACTAATGTATAATTTTTTTTTTTAACTTTAAATGATTAACTAGACAAAAACAGAATACTGAAGCTATGTAATTGTAGCTCTGAACGGTTAAAATACAATCTCACAGCCTTTTTTTCCATGGAAACACGTGGACACGAGTGGGTAGCACCATCTGCTGGCATTGCTGGCTGGAAGGAGCTGCCTGGAAAAGGGAGCACAGCATCCCTGGGGCTGCGAGCACCGAGCAAATCTTGTGTACCCAGAGCTGCAAAGGTCTGGAGATGCAGTTTAAGAGATGCTCCTGCTCCTCAATACCCGGTGCCACGCTGCTCTTGGTGCAATTGGCACCCGACCCCAATAAATGATTGCTCTGGGTACATCTTCGTGCGCTGCAGACACAGAAAAATTAGGAGCAATTCGACCTCAGTGGATCGTGTGGCATGAGAGATCCAGCACGAGATATTTCAGAGGTGGGAAATTGCTGTTAAGGAGTGATGAAGTTGATATTTTTGAGTTTTTCTGCTGCTGAGCTTCTGAGTCTCACTCTGTGTTCACACCGACAGCACAACGATGGAAAACATTTCTGTTTGAAAACAGAAAYTTAAAACATCGCTTTTAAACCATAATAAACAAGGGTGCTTATTGTGAGTGACAATAAGAAAATAAAGAATATTTATTGGGTGGTTTGCTGAAGTTTCCCCTCCTGGCCAGGCTGGGATGTGTGARCTGACCCAGAGCAGAAAAACACTCCAGGACTCCTCTGTTGCTTCTCTGAACTTCTTTTAGGTTTGCTGCTCAAAATTTGGAGGTTCTTGTGGCTCAGTCGTGCTATAAGTGGTTGCTGTAAATTCTCTCAGGAAGGGAGAGAATAATGAAATTYCCAGTGCTTGCTAYGGTTCAGTGCCARYGCAGATTGTAGCTCTCCTCATCACMTATCAGTGAAAAAGGAGCAATGGAAAAAAACCTACTTTTAGATGATAAACACCAGTTAATGACACTAAGCTAAGGTGGAAYAAAATTCCAATTTCTAGTCCCATTTGGGTCTCATTTCCATGCTGATAGCACTGCAGTAGTGCAGGAGATTTGCTCACTGGTGAGAGGGCTGACACTAAAGGTGCTCTGTGGTGTTATTGTTCCACATCAGAATCAGCTGTCATCTGGGATTTCTGATCTTCTTTACCTTCAATTTTTTCATTTCTTCAATGGATCCTAGAGGAATTCTGTTTTATTAAGAAAAAACTCTTGGTTTTTCTGATCCTGGTTGCTGTCACTGAGTTGGGCTCACAGATCAGAGTGTTTGAACAACCCCAGGATGGACAGGGGATTGCAGACCCACTAAAAACTCTCTGGTGTTTGGACACTTGTGTGGAGCTGCAGGGACAATATTTAGTGGCAGAGTGATTTAACCCATCTATTCTCAAAAGCTCAAGTGGTGCCAGCTCCCGTGACACTGAGCAAAGGCAGGAATTTAATGAACTTACTCAGAGGGTTCATATTTTACATTCCTTCTGTCAAATGTTTTCTTACTAAAATCATTGGCTGCCTAAGCTGCTGAGTTTATACAAGTCCATTGTAATTTGTGCAGTGATTAAATTTTAAACCAGAGTGTGTTTTCAGAGGAAATAAATTTAGAGCAGACCACTTTGTTCTTTAGCAGAGGATCTCTGCTCCTGTCAGTTCGGAGGTGGAGTAAACATTCTTCCCTCTAATAGCATAATTATTCAAAAAYGTTTGCAAGGATCTCTTTGTAGAATCTGTGCTCATGCTTTAGTGTCATTCTTTCATTTCCAAATGCGGGTAAGAGGTTTCAGATTCAACAGCTGACAAGGGCATGCAGGCCTGCAAAGAAAATTTGGAGGAGAAAGGGCCCYATTGCATGTGAAAGAGTTATATAGAAATCTAAAACTAAAGATGCTTTGCCATGCCATTTAATTTTAAAGATTTACAGAAGCCTTTCYCTGTCTCTTAAGAAATTTTAACAGTTTAACTTTACAGACACCTGAGGTACTGCTTGCAAAGCAAAAAATTAACAAAATATTAGATACCATCAGTTTCTCAAGCATTTTTTACACACAGCAGAAAATGCTTTTATTTTAATAAATGGTGGTTTTAGCATTAATACATTTTGAAATATAAACCTCCTTAATTTTGCAGATTTTGAATATGCTCTTGTGGTGTAAGACAGAGAAAAAACTGCACTTTTGTGTTAGATCAGGTGCAGCTGTGGGTTCTTTGGCATCTGGATATTTCTGTGTTTCCTTATGAAATCTAGGAAAACAAATGCTTTAACTTTCATTGTCATTTTCATACAATTTCCTGTTTAGTTCTTCTCCCTTTTCCCATCTTACGAGCCCAGACTGGAAATCACCCTTCTTTGGGGAAGCTTTGAGGTAATCCTTTGAGCACACAATGTTTCCTGGGATCTAATGGGATATTTTTCCTGGTGCAAAGCTCTCYCAGGTCTGCACCTCGAGAGCACTGAGCACATCATTGACTGTGTTCTTGCTGAATTTCCCCTTGAGCATGCAGCAGAGGTGTCTGTGTCTTTGTGCTGAGTGACTTTGATGTGCTYCAGTGGCCGTGAGCGACGAGGAGGAAGGAGGGATTCTGTTTGATAACGTGGCCAAGTCTGCCCTGGACCCCTTTGACACATCCTCGGGATCAGTGCAGCTCATTGCCATCAAACCCGTGCCCCTGCCCGCTGTCCAYGCTGCCTCAGAGAGGAGCCAGGAATCTGCCATCATCAATGGAGAGGTGAGGAATGGGTGCCTGGTCACGATCTGCTTAACCCAAGCTGGGGTCGTGAGGGTTCGTTATCAGAATCTCAGAGTGCAAAAGAAAACGAGGGGCAAATATAATATTTTAAATAATCAGGAACAATTTATTTGGATATTTTGTGATAGAAGAAGGTGAGAGAGAGAGAAAGAGAAAGAGAGAGAGAGAGGGTGGGGTTATAGCTACCAACGGCTCCGACGAATCCTCCGAGGTTCCATGGGTTCGCCAGCGTCCGTTGGGAGAGATCTCCATCAGGGTCTTCTCGGGGAGAATTTTTATAGTCTTTTTTAAAGCAGATGGCAGCAAGTCAGGGGATTGCAAAGCATGAGCCGGAGATCTGGCTCCACCTTGATGACATTTCACTGGAGTTGTTTCCCAACCATCAGGAATTATTAAAGGTTTTGTGTAGTCAGGGCCATGTCTCTGTGCCCCATTAAAGTTTYGATGGCTGAGTTGTGCCCGTGCTGCCCCAAAGCCAGCGTGGTGCTGGGTCACACCCACTGGCTACCACCACCAGAGTGTTTTTCCTCTAGTGGGTGTATCTGAGTCACTGTTGCAGCTTTTTTAGGCTAAAATTATTTAACCATCTGCCAAGCCATAAAAATGCAGCGGCTCTGTTCACTTGCAGCTCCTGGCTGCTCGCGGATGGCGCGGTGTGTGCTGAGAGATGACACACGCTCTGATAACATCCCTGGGAGGTGGCCAGCCCACCAAACACACACTCTGACAACATCCCTGCGAGCTGGCCGGCCCWCCAGCAGCCTCCAAACATCTCCTTGCCTTTCAGGTGAACAAGGCTTTGAAGCAGAAGTCTGACATAGAGCACTACCGCAACAAGCTGCGCCTGAAAGCCAAGAGGAAGGGCTACTATGATTTCCCACAGGTGGAYAACAGCAAGGGGCTGACGGACAGGAAAAGGATGTACGAGAAAAACCAGAAGGAGCTGGACCACATCTTGGATCCAGATGCAGATATTTCATCTCCGTTTGCTGAGCCTAAGAACAGGTGAGAGTTTGGATGTGGAGTTTGTCTGGGACGAGAGTTGGTGTCCTGGGACTTAGAGGGGACATTTCAATGAGCCAAATGTTTGTTGTATGGTTTGGTGCATGTCCTTTCTGCTTTCTGAAGAAAATYCATGGAAAGCCTGTCCTCTGTGTGGTTAAAAACACACAAATGGAAGGAAAAGAAATAAGGAAAGGGACTGTTGCAAGTTCTTGTGAACAGAAAAAGTGGCAGCGGTGTTACTGGTGATACTTTGAGCAGACTTTAAGCAGGAAGTTAGCATCTGAATTTGTTCTTGTTTGAAATTCAGCAGTGCTACTCTTTAGTCATCGTTTTAATCTAAATGTAGCTGTTGCAGCAGGCATGGATGACAGAATTATCCATGTGAATCCTGCAGGGATAGCTTCTGTCAGGATCTGCGTGTGCCTCTTCTTGGTGATCTTCCCGAGCCTTTAACAGAGAAATCCATACCTTGCTCATCTGTCACGTGAAGCTGGCAYATTGCATAACATCACTAATGTTTGATTACATCTCCCTGTCTCCTGAGGATGGCACCATCTGACATTTCAGGAGTCAGGAGGGAGTGAGGGTGCTGCTGTGAGTGAGTGGGTGAGTGGGTGGGTGCTCTCTGAAACACAAACTGGTACCTTGGAAARAGGGGATCACACCAGTCCTACCCCAGGAATGGCACAGAGCGCAGATTCCTCTTCCTTGGAACTTCTGGAGGAATGGAGGATGATAAGGCAGTGTGTTTGCTCTTGCACCTTGCCCAGGAGGGCTCTGGTTTTCACTGATATCAGGGACAAGCATCAGTTGATCCATGAGTGAAAAAGGGACACTGAAACACCTTTAATCTGGAAATGACCCTCATGCCTGGAGGTGCAATCCTGCATCCCCTCTCCTGGCAAGCTCAGACCAAAATTTCCCTGTGTGAGTAAATTGACTGCAATCAAAGCATCCCTGGTGACACAGGCATTGCCCACTGCAACTTCAGCAGCTCTCCTCGGGGCACAGAGATGGAAAAGGCTGTAATGGGAATTACAGAAGCAGTGTTGGCTGGGAATGTGGCAAAAGCTGTAATCAGATGAATTTCTGCAGGTCTAGAGCTCAGTGGAGGAGGGAAAAGCTGTTTGCCAGGGCTGCACTGGTCAGTGAAGAGAACAGATGCTGACTCAGCTGTTTTATGCTCTTGCTGGAGGCCCTGGGGCACCATTTACTTTTTCAATTTCCAATTTATCGTGCACTGAAAAGGTGGGGAATGGAGCCTTCCTTTCCTTACATGGGAGAGCTGCTCTGTCCAGGAGGTACAGGCAGAGCCCTGGGAACACTTGGTCTGGAAAGTTCCCTTAACACACTGGAGATTGAGGCACTCATTTGGATGTCATTTTGTGCCACGTGGCTCACAGGAAATGTTCCAAACATTTTTTTACTGAGGCTTTAACACAGCCCTGTGAGTTTTGTTSAATGCACTGGTGTTTGTTTGCTCACGTGCCAGCGGGTGGGAAGATCCAGGACGTTTTTCCTGCTTTTTTTTCCAATGTGTTGTGTAAATCTGCCACAGTTTGTTTGAGACAGTGATCCCTGGAATGAGATAAACTGCAGGGAAAATGCTGGGGAGAAATGATTCCAATGTGTACCTGAAACAGAAAAGGCTGGCTGCTGGATTTATTGTTTAATATATTATCTGCATCCCTCCATGGGTAGAGAGAACCATTTCTGATGCGTTTTCTGTGAAGGCACGGAACACTTTATGGACTTAACAGAATGTTTGCAAACAAACCAGTTCTGAATTCTGTGCTAAAATTTCTGTGCTAAGACCTGGAGCTGAACTCGATATGCTGCAACATGTGTGACAGTTGCTGTCCTTATTTTTCTAACAAAAATAAGATGGTTAAAATGGCACACTGCTGGAGGAAAATCTTGAAAAATACTCCAAGGTAATGTGGGGGTTGGTTATTGATAAAAGAATCAATACAGTTGTATTTCTGCAATTAAATAAAATTGCTTTAAAAGCAATCTAGGTAAGCATATAATTGAAAAAAAAATATTTCCAACTTTTTGTCTTTTGAATCATCGCTAAAGCAATTAAAAGATGAAAAATTGTAATTTTTAGAATGATATCACGGAAAAGTAAGTCAAACATCTCAAAGTTTCTRGGGAAAAGGCCTATTCCACCCTTCTCTGTTTTATATATATCCAACTTAAGCCACATTAACACAGCACTTCCAAAACATACCAGAAAACAGAGATGCAGTTGATCACTCAAGGTTATCTTTATATTTAATTTCAAATTAATTTGGAATTGCATTTGAAAGTGATTTACAAAGCATTGCTGCTGAATGATTTGATTTTTTTTTGCAAAACAAAGGGCTTTGTGCTCGAGGTTCCTTTCAGTCATAAAACTCTTGTTTTAAAACATTCCAGCTGTGTTCCCAGAAGATTTCCTAACCCATTTGAACGCCAGTTGCTCCTGTTCATACCTCCTTTCTCATTAGTAAAACTCTCTTAAATGAGGTAATTGGCAATCTCAAGGTAATTTTTAAGAGCCTACTGGTGACACACACTATTCTTGGATTTTCTTTAATAGTTTGTAATYGGGTCAGGAATCTGCATGTTTTACAGAGCTCTCTATTTGAATCTCTTAGAAAATATATCACAACTGCCTCAACTAAGTGTTTATGGACCTATTGTAAAACATATGAAATTCTAGAGACTTTTGATGAAGATTGTCAGATCTGATTAGCCTCTGTATAACCCTGTTTTCTGATAATATCGACAGTATAGTCAAAGAAATACTGCATAGGAAGAAAGAATTTATTAAATATTATTATTTTTGTAGGGGGAACTAATTCCAAAAGCTCAGCTCGTCTTCTGCTTTGGCAATGCATTTGGGACTTTCAAACATGAGCATGATGATTTGTGATCAAAGGTCACACAGAAGTTTGTGAAAGTTGCCTTAAAACTGAGTAATTTATTTAATCAGAAGCATGAAATTGGTATTTTTTTTGTCCTACCTTTTATCCTGTCTGATCATGTCCTACTTTCTGGATTCCTGCAAACCAGTTTCCGCTTCTCTAATCTGTCAAGGCAAAAAAGTGCTGTTAACAGGATCTGGAATAACTGAAGAATTATTTATCAGTGAATTAATTTGGACTGTCTTGTCTGTTCATTTCATTGATGGTTCTTGAGATGCTGAACCACGAAGTGACTCAGAAGTGTGAATTCAGACATAACAGTGCAACTTGTTTTACTTCCCCATGAGCACTGTKTAAAATAAGCAGCACAAAGATATGTTAGATGACCTGATCTAATTTGAATATTCTGAATGGAGTAATTGCACGAGGCACAAAAATAGCATGGCTAGGCAAAGGTAACTTTGTCAGGTCTGAGAGTATAATTACTGTGTTAATAAATGAAGCTGAAGTTAAAAGGGTTCTGATACCTTCTTGGAAAATATTTCATGTGATCAACTCCCACATATGATGTCCATGTCTACACAACTTTGCTTTCCTTAAACAGTAAAAAACAATAATCATCTCCTAATAAAGTTACTGATTTCTAGCACTTCATATATGTAGAAAGGCTATCCTGCAAGGAAGTGGCATTTTTAAGAACTTCATCATTTTAGAATAAAAGTAAGTGCTGGAAACTGTTACCTGTGATGAATTTTTGTTGATTTTACTGTTTTYTTGTTTGGTGTTTTCTAGGCAGCCGTTGAAGAACTCTGTGTACAGAAGCAGRCAGTCTCTGAACAGTCCCAGCCCAGGAGAAACAGAGATGGATCTTCTGGTGACCCGAGAGAGGCCCAGGAGAGGCATCCGGAACAGTGGATATGATGTGAGTTTATGGGATAAAAAAATCTGAGCAGCAAAATCTGCTCAGCGAAAGATTAACTTGCTCCTAAACCCAGGAAAGTGCTGAGAAATTGCCATGAGATATTTAATGTTGCAGGAGTTTATGTGCACTCAGCATCCTGAGAAAAGCTGAGGCTCTTTCAGCTATGTTATCACTCGACATCATTTTGCTGTGTGAAATGCAAATAAAATGTTTGTCCCAAAACCCATTATTTGCCAAAGTGTTAAATTTTGAATTTAGATCGTTCTCCTAAGTGTGTGGCCACTCGACAATGAGCTTTTCTCATTGCAATTAAAATCCTCTGTTTGCTCTGAAGAGCAGCCTGAAGCTGCTCTCTTGATTCAGAATTCCTGGGATTGTCACCTAAATCCTGATGTCAGTATTTTGTGGAAATCCYCTCGGGACAGGTATTGTCCTCTTGTTCCCAGCAGAACTGGGAGAGTTTTGTGTAGGTAAATGTCAAACCCAGCCAGAGGAGATGCTGCTTTCTGCGCCAAGGAGCTCCCATAGCCAGCACAAGGCAGAGGAGTTTGTGTTCTGCAGTCTGAGCAAATGCTGGGTGAGAGTTGACACTGTGTGAACCCAGAATGAGGATTAAAATTTGCCCCCACACTAGGGCAATTCCAGATTTTTCCATCCTTTGTCACATGAGAAAATTGTACCCCAGCCAGCCCTGAGGATCAGTCCCTAAAAAACATCTAAACCACTCTGGAAAAYGAGGAAGTTCACCTGTGGTTTCCCATCCTCTAAACATTGTAGATAAAAACCATTTTTTGGGGGGGGTTTCACTGTCAACCCTGTCTCTGCCAGGAATGTGTTTTTAACAAGGTGAAAGAAAGCACCAAGGTCTTCAGGAAAGTTTAAATCCTTTACAAAACTCTTCAGGGCACATTGTAGTTGTCAGATTTCTGAAATGATTTCCTGCATTTGGACATTTCCCATCAGACTGCAGGAGTCATGTGAGTGGGCTGATTGGTACACGGCTTCCTGAGGAATTAGCAGACTAATTCTATGCTAATAAAAGTTAGTTTTTCACAGGGATATTTTCCTGGAATCGATGTTGAAAACATTCTGGGAGCAGGCACGGCAGCCGATTTTCAAAATATATTTTAATGTATTGTGTATACTGTATATAAAACTTATTTTAAAGGAAATTCATTAAAAACCTTGAAAGCAGATTAATGATCTCACGCAGATTTTGAAGTGTCCTCAGAGCAATCATAAACTCTGAGATGTGTGCACATCACAGAAAAAAATTACTTTTGCCTTCCCTTTGACGCTGCAGTYGGGCTGTCCCTGGCACAGTGTTTTACTGATAAATTACATAAAATCCCTTTGCCCAATGCGCTGCAGATTCACTGCAGTGCACCCTGAATGCATTTCCCATCTGAAAGCACAGAAATGCCACCAGGAAAATGGGACAGGATATTGAAATKTAGGTGCCAAGGCTGAGCCTGCAGCGTGGGCTGGTCCCTCGCTCYGGTTTGCTCTGTCTCCCAGGATACCCAGGATGGTTGGATTTGTGTGTGGAATTCTTGGATCTCACCAAGATACAGCTAAAAACCTCCATAAATCTGACCTCTGAAAACAGGGCTGGCTCTCGTGCCCTTTCTGTTTCGTACAACAACACCTGGTACTGATTTTTGACATCCAATTTGTCATATCAAATGTTCCAGCCTTGTCAGACTCCTGCTAACCTCTTCCTCCCRGCACGTTATTCAGCAGAAAGTCCTGCCAAAGAATAGTGAAATTTGCATTTTATAGGCACTGCCAAATAATTAAATTTATGAAACAGTTTGTATTGCTTTCATGTCATGAGACTTTTTCCCAGCATAAAAAATGAGGGGTTTTTTTGGCTCTTACCAGAACACCCAGATTATGTGTCGAGGTTTATCTTCCCAACAGTAATARTGTTCTTATTTTTAAAGAGATTGAGATCTCCCAGATTCTCTAAGAAAACTCCTTGAGAATTGCTACACTCATGTGCACAACCATAAGTTTTCCCTTGGATAACAAATTTCTAAATGGTTTTCTAAAATACTTCATTCATACTTTTCTAAAATACTTCATTCTCTATAATTATTTTTGCTGATATTTCTCTGAATCACGGTTCTGTTTCTCAGAGCTAAAACCTGGTAAGGATATGAGAACACTGACACAATATTCTACATCTCTCTAGCTGTAATAAACTGTCCCTTGTTCGGGGTCCTTTATAGTGAGGGTACTATTTAGGGAACCATATAGGGAACCTTTATAGTGGGGGTCTATTTAGGGAACCTTTATAGTGAGGGTACTATTTAGGGAACCATATAGGGAACCTTTATAGTGAGGGTACTATTTAGGGAACCACACTCTTCCTGGCACAGTTGCACTCCCATTGATACCACAACTGAGTCAAGAATTCAGACATTAATTCTAATTGTCTTTAAGTGAGTCACTGACAATTTAATCTAGTGCAGAGTGTCCCTGCTACTTTACTCAGCAAACAATGTAGAACATAAAAGACTGTTATACTCTTTGCTATACTCTTTGTGTCCCACAATTTCTTTCCGATATTTATCGTGCGTCTACATCGTCCCAATTCTTGACTTTGTGTATGCTACTGTCACGAAAAGAAGACTTGGAGCACTCAATATGAGTCATAAGCGAACTTTTATTTACTGTGAACAATGTCTAAGTTTTATAACATCATAATTAGCTCATACATATTCTGTAATACATGTATTTCATAGGTCCACATCTTACATGTCAACTCCACCTCTAATGATTCCTTTGCCAAATTTCCCTTCTCTACTTCTACTTTTTCCCAAGGCTAACCAGCACAAATACCTCGTAGGGAGCTTCCAGCGGCTTAAAAGCATGATGTCCTTGCATTGCCTTCCCATCACCTCAGATGGATGGTTCACACAATTTCAGCAATTATTCTATCTGACCGTGACACCTGCATTCCTTCATCTCACCAAACTAAATGTCTACGTGACATTAGACGTAAAATGTCTACGTGATCCTTCTCAGCTTAGCTACCTTCCACATGCTACAGCACAAATACCGCCTTGTACAGCTTTTTAAACACACTTTTATTCCTCCCAACAGACCGAGCCTGAAATCATCGAAGAAACCAACGTGGACCGTGTGAACGAGCCGCGGAATTACGGCCGATCCCGGCAGGCCAAGGGCCACTCGGAGACGTCGACGCTGAGCTCGCAGCCCTCCATCGACGAGGTCCGCCAGCAGATGCACATGCTCCTGGAGGAAGCCTTCAGCCTGGCTTCTGCTGGCCACGGGGGCCAGGCCAGGCAGGACGCCTACGGTTCAGCCCCACACCTGCCCTACTCGGAGGTGGTGACCAGTGCCCCCGGCACCATGAGCCGGCCGCGGGCGGGCGTGCAGTGGGTGCCAACCTACCGGCCAGAGATGTACCAGTACAGCCTGCCCAGGCCTGTGAGTGCCTGTGAGGTCTCTTTGCTTCTATCATTTCAGAAAAGTGTTGTTGCCCTGAGCCGTATTTTTTTTAAAGTAGTCCCGTTTACGTGCGTCAAACCAGATGCTTGCAGTAAATAAGCRTAGGGTGGTGTGTACATATAGTGTTGTACATATAGTGTTGTGTGTACATATAGTGTACATATAGTGTTGCCTTGAAAGGCCAGTTTTTAATAATGACACGGACATGGCTAAGGGGATAAAAAGGGTTTTACCTCGGTATTTGGGATCCCAGGTGCACAACTTGATGGCAGAATGCACACCCGTGTACAGCACGGGTACAAGTTTTATAGGTTTCAGGAATTAGCATATCTATCTAGGATTCCCCAATAAGATACAAGTTTTATAGGTTTCAGGAATTAGCAAATCTATCTAGGATTTTCCAATAAGATACAAGTTTTATAGGTTTCAGGAATTAGCATATCTATCTAGGATTCCCCAATAAGAAACTTCACAAATGCAGTGATGTCCCCCTATTCTAATGAATCCCCCCCAGATGAGGCCAGAGCCCAGTTTACACAAGATGTTCTGGACAGAAGGCTTCACCCAAGGCTGAGCTCAGGTTTAAGCTTCACCCAAGGCTGAGCTCAGGTTTAAGATAGCACAGGGCACACTGACTCCTTCCTCAGGATGTTTGGTCTCTCTGCCCAGCAGAACTCCTGAACTAAGCTGGAATATCAGGCTCCAGGAATTACAAACATGTGGGTTAAGGGGTGCAGGGGAATGCATAGAGGGTACAGAAAGTGAAAAAGGAAAAGCAAAAATCATCAGGCATCAATAGGATGGGAGGATGGGTGAGCCACGCACATACACCATAAAAGACTCAGTGCCTGCTTTGGCAGTAGGATTTTCTTGTCTAAATTCTGCTAAGAATTGAAAGAACAGGCTGCAGGTCATTCAACAGATCCAAAACCTCTCCTTCTCTTCAGTGAATGCATTTTGGGAAGCAATGTGGTTTTATGGGATAACCATGCTGGCTGTGGAGCATGGAACACAAACCCTTCTGCATCCAGCACCAAGATCAGAAAACACCTTTTGCACTGAGCTCCCATGGCTTCTCATCTAAAGCAGTGCAAAGCATTTAGAAGGAAAATTTTGTCCTACATGTCATTTCTTGGGTGCCATGAATTTCATGCACATAATTACTCCTCCTTTGCCAMATTTATGGTGGCAAAATTCAGAATWWCTGTGGGCAAGTTGCTTGATTTTGTGACTGTGTGGGYTGTGTCTGGTGTTCCTCCGGATCAGTCATCCTTTTCAGAACTGTTTGAGGCCTTTGTTGCTGTGGTGGAAAGTTACAGAATTTGGGGGTTTTGTGAGGAATTTTCTTTTCATCTCCTCAAGGTTGAAATATGGATTTCTCACAGGCGTTCACTGCAGCACCCGTTGCTCTGAGGATGCTTTCTGAATGTTTAAAATACTTTTTTTTTTTTTCCTAGAAAAAGTGAAAGTACTCAGGTCTTTTTCCCATGATCCAAAGCAGTTGTTGAGTTTCACATAAGCACAACAGATCTGCTTTGCCAGCAGGTTACAAATGCTGCAGAGACAGTGTTTAATACATTTTATTTTAATTAGACTTCATCTTGCCTCAGAGCTCATTTGTTCAGGTTTTCTTCCACMTTCTAAAAYCACCARAGCACTGTAAATTCTCAAATAAACRCAATTACTAYTGATGCCACCAAAAKTTAGCTTYCTGTTGGCTGAGCAGGTATTTAATTTCTGATTTTCTTCGGTTTTTCAATTTGCCTGAGATCTACCGGTGTTTCAGAAAAATATTTCTTTTTCTCTGTTACAGGCTTATAGATTYTCTCAGCTTCCTGAGATGGTGATGGGTTCTCCTCCTCCTCCTGTCCCTCCCAGAACGGGTCCTGTGGCTGTTGCCTCTCTCAGGAGGTATTTATCTATTATTTTATTGTAGGTACAGTCTCTAAATCCCACTGCTGCAATAAGAACTGGGGCAAACCCTGAAGGGCCATTTACAAGGCACTCAAAAAGATATATTCATGAAATTAAAAACACACTTTTATTTCATTTCAACACAAAAAGAAATAGCAATGAAGTTTTCTATTCTATTACCTACTTGGCGTCAATAAAACCAGAGAACACAGGCTCTTTTTTCTTTCAAAACATTCTTTGAATTCTGGTAAAGCTCTGGTGAATTCTGGTGTCAATAAAAACAGAGAATCCAGACTCTTGTTTCTTTCAAAACATTCTTTGAATTCTGGTAAAACTCTGGTAAAGCTCTGGTGAATTCTGGTAAAGCTCTGGTTTAAGCCTTGTCTATCACAGACATTTGTTTGAAGCAACACGGAAAGGATCTATACATGTTTTGGTGAAATTTTTTTTGGTGAAATTTTTCTGGGGGAAATTTTTGGTGAGCAACCAGGTTAAAGGGATTATTTACAAACTTCTCCAGACTTGTCATGCCAGTGCAAAGATAGGCATGTATACAGCAATAAATTGTATCTGTAGGCCAGAATGACAAAACTTTCTGGTTTTTTTCTTTCTTAACTCACAGGTCTACATCAGATATTGGTAGCAAAGTGAGGATACCTGAGTCCAGTGGAGCAGATCAGRCCCAGCACCACGATCAGACTCCTTTTGCCCCGGGTTCCAGAGCTCCCATGTCTGTTGGTCCCCTCGATCAATCAGCTTTTCACTCAGGTGAAAAAATAATGCAGGCCCACCTTGAATCTTTGGGAGTTGTACACATTATTTTGTTTATAAATGAGTGTATGGGAGGTAGAAAATATGAGTGATTATTTGGAAAAAGATACAGACCCTATTTTTCTCCTCTTCTCCATATTTTCTTCTTCTTCTGCATCCTGGGACAGCATGGGAAGTCATTGAGAAATTGTGAATAACTGGGTTTGTGGAGATAACTGTATGGGCTGATCTTTACCTGCAGGCTGGACGTGTTTATGAGGAAACTGCAAATTTTGCCTTCTCCAATATTTCCCAGCATCATGAAGATACTCTTGTCAGATGGTGGGACCAAAAAACACTCCAAAACCCCCMAAAAACCCTCCAACAAACTCCCATTAATCCATAAGCACTGCTTTATAACTGGAAATCTCAGCTATTAATGACATCTACTCTTTTTTTATCCAACAGGAAATACCGTACCAGCAGTGTTTGCCATTCCAGCCAACCGACCTGGCTTCACGGGTTATTTCATCCCCACTCCCCCCACGGGATACAGGAACCAAGCCTGGGTGCCCTATGCTGGAGAGAACGAGCTACCAGGCCAGTGGGCAGACTCTGTAAGCACCTTTGCTTTCCTACCCAGCTGTGTTTTCTCTGGTTTGCATCTGGCATCAATAGGATGGGAGGATGGGTGCTCTCTGTCACAAACCCAGGACAGGTTTGCGGTACCGGGCGTTGGTGGCTCTGTGTAACTCGGTGTCACTGCCATCCTCACAGGTCCCTCTCCCTGGATACATCGAGGCTTACCCACGGCCCCGATACCAACACAACTCTCCATCCCGCCTGTCCAGGCAGTACAGCCAGCAGGGATTGCATCCCAGCCTGGAACAGGCACCCCTGGCATCGGCCACCACGTCCCAGCAGAGCCTGACCGAGAACGAGCCCGCGGACACACCGCTCACCAACATCTCCACCGCCGCCCTCGTCAAGGCCATCAGGGAAGAGGTGGCCAAGCTGGCCAAGAAGCAAACAGATATGTTTGAGTTCCAGGTCTAAAATCTTCCATGCATGGTGTTTGTGTGTCGTGACCCGGGGTAACCCAAGGAAGCAACTCTTTTAATTACAGGCTACAAATCCTGTGTGAATTGTGCCAAAGTGATGGCGTTTTAATCTGTCTGAAAAGTCAACGCTAAGAAATGACTTCAAGCAGAGCAACAGGACTCTGAAGACTCGTGATTCTGCTTTCCAGCTAAGGAAAAAGCTGCCAGGAAACTGATTCATACAAATGAGATTGACCATATGCAATTTTTAGTCACTTAGCTCTCGTGTTATGACCCATAATCAGTAGAGATGTTACTGAACGTGTCTGCACCACACAAAGATTCATTTGCAGGCCCAGAGGCTGAGCTGCTGAAAATAATTCCTGCATGCCAAAACTTTGAATAAAAGAAGAAAAAACCCTCTGGAGGCCATGCTTGGCTTGGGGGTGGCCGTGTTAATTGTTTGCTGGGGGACATTGTACAAGGGGTGCTGATTTCAGCAGCGCAGAGCCATTCAGCCCTTTCATTCCAGAGACTTGTGTTCCAACCAAAAGAATTCTACATGATTAAATAATACAAATAAATGTCCTGTAAATAGCTCTGAGTCTCTTCATCCTATTAACAGTGTGAAGAAGCGAAAGAAGAGAGGACTGTGAAGAAGGTGAATGACATTTTGGTAATTGGTGGCTGCCTTGTCCCTCGGTGCCACCGATGAGTTACAGGGGAGATTTTTTTTTTTCAGCGTGACAGAATACAATGCATGAAGAACCAACAAAGGATATTGGTGCTAAAAGCTTCCAAGAGAAATGAAAAAAAAAGGTTATTCGTGCTCGCTCTATAATCAGGCTTTTCTCTCTGAATGCATGTGAAGCTGGTAAACCTGAGACCTTTAAATCTTTCCAACCTAGAAAAATGAATACACCTGCTTGGACAAGCAAAYCTCTGTTCAACACAGTGCTTTTTTCTCTTTCTTTAACAATAGTATCTACTAAAGTGATGCCAGAAAGTGCTTTCTGAAGCTGTGGTTGGTTTTGGTTSCACTGGCACGGCGAATGCACACCCAGGAAGTTCTGAATGTAGAGGACCTCGTTACTAAAATAACATGTAAATAAATTAACAGTCACACGGATTAACAAAAAAATCACAGTTCTGTGAAAAAGAGAGCGTTGCCAGAAACAATGTTGACTTTATATTGTGCAAGATAAAGGTTCACTGATTGTTACACTGCGTTGTGGTAAGAATCCAATCCCTAAGGAAAATTGGATGGGAYGGTGGTTAAAATTCTGCAGTTGTACAAACTACAACATGAGATCATGAACAATTGTTCTCAGTTCCTTCAGCRCTCAGCTTCGGGAACTGAATTTGTTGCAAAATTTGTTGTGTTGGGCATGTTTGATGTCAGCTGGAGTTAAAGGTAATGTCCTTCATTTCAGTAGGTTATTTAGTTATCCTCAATTACTCTTTTGTCCRATCATTTCATTTCCCTGAGTTTCTTTGGTCTTAACTGATGTGAGAAAGGGAACTTGGTTTAGCTTTTTGGCCATCAGTAAATTGAGAGAAGGAGAGAGAAGATTAGAACAGGGGATAGAAGAAGAAATTSATGAAGCACAAACTTTTAAAGCAGAGCTATTTTTTCCCCTTATAATTMTGTTACAAACCCTGAGATTCTGATGCATAATTATCCTAGAATATACAAACATCTTCTGCACCAGTACCTGAAGTATTGCAGAAGCCTTTGGAATGCTAGTTAATATTTCAATAAATGTGAAATTTCCTTTTTATTATTTAAAATCAGATATAAATAAAATGTATTTTTGTAATTTCTATGTACATATGTGCTGTATATTTATATAAGTGACTAGTCTGCTATAGACACAAAATTTCCATAAACTAAATGGAAAAAGAAGAAAAAAAAAAAAAGATAAGAAAGAAAAATCCCCTGGCAATTTTAATGATCAATATAAACGTGCTGTGTCCGGAGTACACAAATATACATTTGGGTGACTTGGATACTAAACAACCAAAGAAGGACACAGCAGTTCTCAACAGCATCTTTCGGACACTTAGCTCTGTTTGAGTCTGTTCCCATTCTCAAATTTGTGCAATTTAATAGTTCTGTTGAAAAATATGTGAGGCTATAGTCTCATGTAGCTTACATGATGAATCTTGTATTTTGCCATACTGGAAAGTAAAAATATTGGAAAATAGAGATGGACAGGGTTTGGATGTCTGTAGAAAACCAGAAAAACCCCAAACAAAAGCATTTAAACAGCCTTCTAGAAAGAAAAAAAACCATTTCAGTAAAGTTAAACAAAGTACTCTTCAAACTTCTGAGGAAGACCTGTTAGAGTCTCAACATTAATTTTGTCTGGTATTATTATGAACAGTGTGAAGTCTATTAAATATTTCCTGAACCATCACTCTGAAACCATTGTGGTGCACTTTATTCAGAAAACCATCTCACATTCCTCATTCATAATGCCTTTTTATCCTGTTTGTAATATGTTTCTGTATTTTTTTTAAGTATAAAGTAAGATTATATCAAGACAGTAAGGACATTCCTGGGAAAGAAAAATCATGCTGTAATATTTATACTGTCTGAGCACAAAGCAATGATAAAGTGAAAATATAGTGTACAAATAATTTGTAATATAATAAACATTTTGTATGGCTCCAATTGCAATCTGTTTTTTCAATACTGATTTTAAAGCAGAAAGTATTTATGTTTAATGTTATAACCACATCCAGATATATCCATGCCATTGTTTCCTTGAGGAAAAAAAGTGGTAATTTAGCTTTTTCTACTRAAAAGAAAAATCTCCATCATTCACAGGAGACTGTGATGGAGAAAGGCCATATTTTGTATTGCTATTACTGTGTTTCCTAGCTACAGGTATGGGCTGCTGGGAATCCTGACAAGAGCAGTGTTAATTCCTTATGTTTTTTGATAAGAATATTATATACTTCCTGTCTGCATATAGAAATTGGAGAAAAACTAAGTTAAAATACACAGTGGTGTTATCAGTTACTAGTACCACACAATTAATACACAAAAAAAGTCAACAATATGCTATATTTTTAATTTGAGAGTAGAACAGCATATAGTAAGTAGAAAGCTAATATTGAAGACCCATTAAAATACTCCATGGTGGKACAGTGACAGAGTATCCAGCTGAAACAATTCTCTGTGTGTTGGTGGCCATTACTTCAGGTTCTGCATTGCTTTCATGCTTTGAATCTTCTTTTCTTCCAGYTCCTTCAGRATTTTATCTAAACAGGAATGAAATATAGTTTGTCATTGATGATGTCATTAATAAGTTACAATACTTTTACAGTAAATCAAATCATTAATCAAACTCGTTATTAAGCAAACTAATGATCCTTACAATGCCTTGGCTAGCAAAGACCTGAAAACTAGAGTTTCTTAAAATAATAGATATTAAAAATGGAAAGAGGTGAGTATTGCTGTAACGAAGGAAAAAATATGTGCAAACTACCAATCAGAATTTATTTGAGATCTTCCTGTGAATGCATATACCCGATGGACATTTTTCCTGTGTTCTTGTAACTTTTGTACTCCTGAAAGTTTCCTGACTGGCAGCCTGTAGCCTTGCAGAAAATCATGGGCATCATATCCTTTTCATATCCTTACTGTTGTTGGCCTCACCACTGGAACTCTAAGTACCATAATTTATAATTTAACTGGGATTTTTTATCGGTTGATTGGTTGTTTCTTTTGGTGTGGGTTGTTTGGGTTTTTTGGGGGGCGTGTGTTTTGGTTTTGGGATTTTTTTTATGCCTACAACTACCTGTGGCCATCAGTGGCCTTTATTTTACATTAGTGCTGATGTGCAGCCTAATGTCAGTCYCTGCTGATGTGCAGGGACTCATTCCTGGACATTTTGTACGTTTTTCAAACTCCTTCTCACTTCATCGSTGCCTGCGATATTTTTGCTGACGCTTAATGACTTTGGGGGTTTCTCTCCTTYGCTCAGCAGTGACCACACCCGCAGCTCCGGTGACTCCGGTGCTGTCATCCCACGAGCAGTGACCGCGGCAGGCGACACGGGACAATGGCTTTTCTCCCGCACGCACCTGCGCTGCCCCTGCCGCATCCCCGGGGTTATCTGTAGGGCTCTGCGGGGTGTAGACACCCAAAACCCGCCCCAGCACACCCCGCTCTAGGGCTCCCTGTCCTCGGCCGGGCTGTGCGGGGCGGTGGCGGTCCCGTGTGTCCGCACCGCCTCCGCTCCGCGCAGCGCTCGGCCGGGCAGCRCCGATGGGACGGGCACGCACACTGCCTGGCGTCGAAACCATCGCCGATGAGCGCCGCCAGCTCCAGCTCCTTCAGGCGGATGCCCAGCTCGCACATCTCCTCCTGAAGCTGCAGCTGCGGCCGCCGCACCCCGTCCCCGGCCCGCGGAGCGCCCGGCGGGCAGCAGAGGCGCGGCGGCTCCGGCAGCACGGCAGCGGGCAGCGCGGCGTAGCGGGCCGGCAGCGGCTGCCAGGGCCAGCACAGAGCCGCCAGCGGGGCCCAGGCGTCCCCGGCCGGCCGCGGCACGGGCTCGGTGCCGTGGAAGTGCGGGAAGTAGAGCGGCGGCCACGACGGGCGTTGCACGGTCATGGCGCAGGGTCAGCGCGGGCGCTGCCGGCCGTTGTCCCGCCGAGCCCCGGCACGGAGCGGCACCGGCACAGCCCGGCGGTTGTGCCCGAGCATCACCGGCAGTTGTCCCCGAGCATCWCCGGCAGTTGTCCCCGAGCGTTGCCGGGAGATTTCCGGGAGGGGTCCCCGAGCATCACCGGCGGTTGTCCCCGAGCATCACTGGCGGTTATCCCCGAGGACTCCCGGGATGGTCCCCGCCGTTGTCGCCGAGGGGTCCCAGGGCATCACCGGCGGTTTCCCCCGAGGAATCCCGGGATGATCCCCGCGGTTGTCCCCGAGAAGTCCCAGGATGGTCCCGGCGGTTGTCCCCGAGGGGTCCCGGGATGGTCCCAGCGGTTTCCCCGAGGAATACCGGGATGTCCCGCGGTTATCTCAGAGGAGTCCCGGGATGTCCTCGCGGTTGTCCCCGAGGAATCCCGGGATGTCCCCGCGGTTGTCCCCGAGGAGTCCCGGGATGTCCCCGCGGTTATCTCAGAGGAGTCCCGGGATGTCCTCGCGGTTGTCCCCGAGGAATCCCAGGATGGTCCCGGCGGTTGTCCCCGAGCATCACCGGCGGTTGCCCCCGAGGGGTCGCGGGACAGTCCCGGTGGTTGTCCCCGAGGAATCCCGGGATGTCCCCGCCGTTGTCTCCGAGGAGTTCCCGCGGTTATCCCAGAGGAGTCCCGGGATGTCCCCGCGATTGCCCCGGAGGAGTCCCGGGATGATCCCCGCGGTTGTCCCCGAGGATTCCCGGCTGCGACAGCCGCCCCGGCTGGGCTCGGCACCCTCCTCCCCGTTCCTTTCCTCCGTTGTCCCGCCGCTCCTCGATCTCTCCCCCGGGCCCTTTCCCAGTTTTCCTGTGGAAGGGCAGAAGTTTCACCCGGCAGTTTTATTTCTGATGTTTCGAAGCGTGCACCAGGCTCTGGAAGAAGCATTAGTTAAAAGAAGTGAGGAAGGTGCTGTCCTAAAAAAATTTAACTTCTGGTAGTCTGTCTTCAGGGTGTATGTGAAATTAGGGAAGGATGCTGGTGATGAAAATAGAAAAAAAAGTAATCTTCAGATGGCTGCTCATGGATAGCTAATGCTCTGCATATCAGGTATTCAGGATTATAATGTTGGGAGGGTTTTGGTGGGTGGGGATAGGTGTTCCCCTAGTCCCCAGAATTTTCCTTTTTATTTTTTGGTTTGTATTTGAGGATGAGACCTGTCATGAATAGTGTTTGGTGACTATTTCTTTAGCTTTGCTTCTTTCTATTAAATATAACACCCTTCTTCCAGCCCTAAGCAACAAGGGCATTGGTGATAACTTCTGTGGAGCTCAGAACAGTACAGAAAGACCCCCTCGGGCTTCCAGCAGGAGGACTTTTGGGATGGTTTTCGGCTGATTTGAGGTATTCTGGACAACCTTAGTAAGAGAGGTGCTGTACCAGTGCTGTTGATAAGGGATTGATGACAGCAGGGGCTGTGGAGGTTRGTCAAGATCAGTGAATTCACTTAAAACAAGGTGAAAATCCCATTACACGACTAATGCAGCCTGGAGTGGACTTCAACARTACACAGGGACTGCTGTGTGCTCTGGAGTAAATCCCATTTTTGAAGTTTTCCTTTGAATAAAAAGGTAAGGTTTTCTAGAAGCAGAACTTCTGTGTACTTTTAACTGCAGTGCTCTGTGCTGATGTGAATGTTTTGAAACACAGAATGCCAGCTGCCCCTGGAGTGACAGTCACTGCCCTGAAAAGTGGTAGGGACAGGAAAATAGTGGCAGGAGTCTCTCAGTATTTTATGTTTTTATATTTATTGTGTATTTATATTTTTTTGTGTATTTATATTTAATGTGCACTGTTAAGGGAGTGTGCTCTGACTTAGAGTCAATGCATATTGTGTTCCATGCAGTGTGCTTACAGAATTAAACTTCCACTACAAACCAGGTACATGTTGAATATTTTGCGAATGAAACCTTTTGACCTTTGCTGCATTTCAGACAGTTTTTTTCTGCCCATCAAGACTGTCTCTCATGCTGTGAGATGTGAGAAAACCTCTTCTTGTAGCAAAGATATGTTTACCTTATTTATACAGCATTAACAGACACCTGCCTTCACCTTTGGCCTTTGAAATTTGTTACTGAAACAGGGAATATTTAATCCTGGATTCTGCATGTAGACAGACTGACTGTAAATGATATAAAGATCAGAGCTTTGAGACAAAATCTCTGTGTGTTTTTTGGCCAGCAGGGCCGATAGCTGTAGGTACTTTATCCGGCAGAGGGAGATAAACACACACTTATTACTGTGCCACAGCTTGGCACATTTAGCACATTCTTCTCTGCGTGTTCAAGTGATGATATTTGAAATGCTTGTGAGAGTGTTCATTTTGGAGAAGCAAATCTTTTACTTATATAACCAGCAAAGACTGTAGTGACAATATTCCAGCCACTGCCTGTCTAATACACACATAAAAGCTTTTTGAAAGACTTTTCTGTTGAGAGAAGTTAAGGATAGTGAAGTTTTGAAGTCTGAGGGCAGCTAAAATATTCTCGTGTTAGTGGCAGGAGCAGCTCATCTGCAGTGTTGGTGACAATAACTACTGATACTCAGAAATGTTGACCGTGCGTGTGTGTGAATTGATGTTTTCACGCAGATTGTCCCAAGTATCTGTAAAAGCCACAAAAGCTACAGCTCTTCCCCTTTTACGATAAATTTTGATGTCAGTTAAAAAAAAAAAAAACAACAAAGTTGGAGTATCATGAAAAATAATGGCAAAAATTTGGATCTAATGTGTTAATTAAAATGGATACATAATAAATCACATTGTTGCACTCAGCTGAGAGTTGTGTTGGTTTTTCAGCRTGGATATTCTGCTGTCTCTTCAGTTTAGCTTTTTAGCTTTTTAGCTACCTTTTTATCTTAGAAGTCTTTCTTTCCCCCTCTCTTTTTTTTTAGTTGATTTCATTATATTGTAGTTCCTGGTTGATCCAATAATATATCTCATATATCTTTTGTGAGAACTGGTTGTGAGAAACTGCTGGAAGAAGCTGCTGGAAACTTCTTCTACATTATTTGCTATGAATAAAATGTAATTATTTCTGCTGAGTTCATCCTGRTTTCAGTTTATAACCTGTAGGATTTCTCAGTGGGATTGATTTCAGAAGGATGCACTCCCTTCCCTGATGTTTCTGGCCTGTTGCACCTGTCACATTACAATAATGCAAAATAAGAAGTGGGTTATTTATAAAATCTCAGAGCACTTTGCCAGCAAACTCGAAATTAACAGAGAGCAACTAATTAACAATTATACGGCTTGAAAGAAGTGCTAATTAAAAAGTTTTTAAGAGATGAATTTTCAATTGAAATACAAAATTAACCGGAGACTTAGTGCCTGAAATAGAAATTTGGACTGATTAACAGAAATGCAAAAAAGCCCTAGCTATATAAGAAATGAATTTTTAATTTTCTCTTCAGGTAAGTCTGTGACATCTTTAGGATCTGAAGAAGATGCACTGTTTTGCCTGAAAGTATAAACCAAACTATTTCCCAGTGTTGTTTTTTCTTTTTTAGTCTTATAATGTTTAGGTGTGTTCAATCACAAAATTTTGAGAATTTTGGCAGAGGAACCATGATTCTGCCTCTGTCTGATGATTTCTGTGCTGCTGAGCTCAAAATGCCTGCCTTATTTGAAGAACACAATTGGGGGTAAGAAACAATAAGTTTTCTGGAAGACATGAGTTGCTTAAAGGCATTCAAGTCTGGTAACTGGGGGACCTTTTTATGTTTTGAAGTTTTTTTTTTTTCATCTTTGCCATTATGTTCTGTTCTTCTGTGCAGTGTTGGGAATGGGAATCTGGTTGCTTCAGGGGGCAAAGTGGGGCAGGTGCATAAATGGAATAAAAGCAGCATTAAAAACTGATCTACCTGCAGGCTCTCTCAAAATTTCATTTGAAAATCCTTGGGTTGATGAATTTTATCTTCTGCATGAATACGTGTAAGGGTGATGGTGAAGAAATGAGATTATTTTGATGGAGCAATGTTTGCATATTAATTGAGCAAGTAAATACTTTGATTATCTGTGTTTGCATCTGAGTTAATGGAGGGTGTTTTTTTCTTTAAACATGAATCTTTGTCAAACCCCAATGGTTGTCACCAAATATATCTCTGGCATGACCTCGTTTCTGAAAGGTGATTTTTCATAGTCTGTCTCTTTTCAGGAGACTCCATTGTTTTAGTTGTGTRCTTGGCAATTTAGGGGAAATAATGAGACCTCCTGTGAAATGGGAAGGCTGAATTYCTCTGAATTCAGTGCTACTGAAATGACTCAGCACAGCAGGTGAGAGTGCTCAAAAAAGGCACAGTTCACCACATAAAAAATTAAAGAGATCCCAATCCATGGCAGCTTTGAAATAATAGAACTCATGAATAGTCCCGAAAGCAGACTCACATCTTGCTCCTGGCTGTTGTTATGCCATAGTCCCAAAATCTTCTGAAATTGCTATTCTAGAACCATTTAATCTTGGCTCAACAAGCACCACTAACATTGACAATAATTAATTTACTTAGCAGTATTCAAATGGGTTGCATATTTTGTTTTTCCCTGTCTTGAATGGAGAGAGGATCAACACCTCACCCAATTATTTTTCTTTGTGTGTTGGGAATTGACACTGYCATAAATCTGTGCATTTTCAGATGATGGTGTGATCTGTAGGCCTCAAAATTTATTTGGGATGTTTTATGCCCCCAAAATTAATATAGATTTCATCATGAATATATGAATATATATGCTCATAGCTTAATTCAAATAGGCATGAACAAAAAAGCCTTTTCATGGATCTGTAAGGTTCATTCTTTAATAGTTTACACTATAATTAGGGACTAAGCATTGTGCCAAAAGCTTACTGCATCTTTAAGGGTCAGCATTGTGTAATGTTTTTTCAGAACTGTGTAATTATTATTGGCACGTAAAGTGAGTTTTTTTTTCCACCCTTTGCAATA